CTAGACTCATCACTGCCCTTCTGTTTCCACTCTGTTGTAGTGAAAACCATAAACTCTCACAGGACTGAGGAGCCATGGGGCCAACACAGTGGGACCACGGTTCTTCTTGGAGGCCTACATGAGCTAGTGCTATACAGATACAAGCAGCAGCAGAGAGCTCAGGGCATCTTATGCCTGTTCCTCAAGGAAGACGTGCCTGAAATAACATTAGCCAGCTTTCCAATATTAAGCAAATGTGTTTCTCCTAAGATGTCTCTGGAAGATGGTCCCGGAGATTGAACTGTAAGGTGGTATTTGCTGGGATATAAAAAAAAAATCAGTTAAATACCTTTTTTTTTTTAAAAAAAAAAAAAAAAAAAGATAGGAGGGGAATTGGGTTGCCCAGAAGTGCATGTTTCCGCCACATCTATTCTGAGTTCACCTCCTGGATTTATACTTGTGCTGTTGGTAATCTGTGAGGAACCTGTATAGGATTTCATCAGTTTCAGTATGGCTTTGGTGGCAGATTGAGTCAAGAAAACAAATAAGTTTTTTGAGCCCCACACCTCTTGGGAAATGTAATTGTTGCCTGGACAATGTCACTGCGACAGAGAGCAGCCACAGCTCCAGACAGAACTTCTGGCACTTGGACTGTTGGTTGTTTGGAGAGGGGAAACAGTCATAAACAGTCTGTGCAGACTTGGGACTGCTCTGTGACATGTGTTTGCTTTTGAGAGTACGGAGTCAAGCTTTCAATTTCCTGGCAAAGAGAAAAATCTGAGCTCTAATGGGACCGCTTAATAACACTGTCTCTGCATCTGCGATGGATTTGCTCCCTTTATGGTTTGAATCAGCACACAGTTTATTTCACTGTGGTAGCATTCCCCAGCCAGGTAAAATAATGGGAGCTTTTCTGCCTCCTGTGAGGAATGTTAATTATTTTCAGTATGTTTAAAATGTGCAGAATCCATGACAAAACTTGGCATGGTGAGGAAGGAAAGTACTTGTAAAAAAAATTTAAAATAGCAAGTGCAAAACTATAAGACTGGAAAAGAGTAGTATATTTATTTTCAGGATGGGCTTACTGTACAGGTAAACTGGGAATTAATGATGAGAAGATGAGCTGTGAAACAGAACTTCTGGGCTCTAAGAGGAAGGATATAGATGCTACCAAGCAAAGTCCTCAAGCATGTATTTTGCCTTAACTATATTCTTAACTTAAGCAGTGTTTAAATGGGGGTTTCAGTCAACATGATGGTGTCATAAATTAGTATTCCAGTAAGTATTAGCAGGACTCAGAAAACACAGGAACGTTCCAGCTGTAAAAAACAGGTCAAATTCTAACAAACCATTTGCATGGCTCATATACATGGGGAAAACCTGTCTTTATTCATTGCAGGGAAGACCAGCTCACTTCAAGAGGAATGTAGTCCTGAAGAAGAAGAGCCAAGAGAAACCATGTATAAGGATCAGCTGTCTTACTGCTTTTATATTTGCCAGAGAGCCCTGTACGGAGACAGCTGGAAGAGGAAGGGATCAGATACCCAAGGTGAGAGCTAATTTAAACCAAAGAGTTTTGTCACGCCTCAGTATTGTCAGTTTTCTTAAAAATGCCTTTCTGCCCATACTTGGTTTCATAACGAAGGATTCATTGCACATTAAAATTCAGAGCTGCTGAGAAATTCTGCAGTGTTGCTTGTCTTTGAATATGGATTTTCCTGTGTGTCATGCATGATCCATGAGGCACAACAGTCATTACATATTTTCCTGGCATTACTTTTCCACATAGTCATATACTAATAGATGCCTTTGCATGAAATGAAACTGCTTCAACCAAGAAATAGGAGCCAGCAGCATGTTGATAGCCATTTCTCCACAGACAGTTTATTGACAGCTGGTTTCTGGAACAGAATGGATACCATTATAGGTTGAGGCAGAAACTGTAATAAATAATAATACTGTATACACACACACATTTTTATTGTGCCTTATATGCATATACATTTTGAGGTCCTACCCGTGGTAGCCCAGAACTGCTTTGCAAGTTGTTTGGAAGACACATTCTCTCTGTCAAATGCATCTTAAACAGAGTGCAAGATACAGACCAGAAGTGTGATGTGTGAACAAGGTTTTGTGACAATAACTTGGAAATTATGATGGAAGGGAAGTTGTGAGTGAGATCTTCTGGGCTTAGGAAATGGGAAGCTTAGTTGCTGTACACTGAAGTTTAACAATTTAGACAAGTCACACCTGTAGTAGTAAAAGTGGGTCCAAAGCATGGAGTTTCGCACTACCACATGGCAGTTCATGTTGTTTATATGTTAGCATAATAACTAGCACGCTCCCAGACACTGTCTAGGCAGGGTAAAGGGAATAAAACGGAAAAGAAAGACAGACAAAAGGCAGAAGACCACTGTTCTGGAAAGGAGAGTTTAGCTGCGTGGTGTGGGCCCTTGAGCAGAGCACTCCTATTTTGGATCACAGGAAGGGAAGGGAAGGGACCTCATGAGGTCTCTGGTACAGCCCCCTGCTCAAAGCAGGGTCAGCCATGAAGTCAGACCAGGCTGCTCAGGGCTTGAAAAAAATCAGAAGAAATATATTGTAAGGAGGCACTTCAAGAGAGTAAGGTCCAACAAGGTGCTCAGTCAGGTCTTGAAAACCTCCAAGGATGGAGCATCCACAGCTTCACCAGGTGACCTGCTCTACTATCTCACTCTCCTCCTAGAGGAAAAGGTTTTCTTTATTTCCCGCTGAACAGCAGTCCTGCTCTCAAGTGTATCAGCTGTTCCCCCCAGTTTGGTGTCATATGCAAACTTGGCAAGAGTGTGCTCTGTTGCCTCCTGAAGGTCATTGATAAAGATGTTAAGCAGGATGGGTTGCAGGGTAGACCATTAGTTACAGTGCTGTGCTCGTAATGGGCACCCAGGCAGGGTATCACCCTTTAACCACTACCCTCTGAGCCTGTTAAACCACCTACTCATCTAGTTGTCTGTCCATCCAGACCATAACATCGTAATTTGGCTAACTGTATGTAGAAAGAGCTTGTATCTACCTTGCTAACTCCAAAGGCAGAATGAGAGCTTGAAAAAAATAGGAAGAAATATATTGTAAGGAAGCACTTCAAGAGAGTAAGGTCCAACAAAGCTCTCAAGTAGAAGAAACTGTATGAGAGACTGTCCAGTATGAGAGTGGGTATGGAAGTGTCAAGATAGGCCAGTAGCTTGAACAGAACAAACTGGGCTCCAGATGGAGTGACTGCACCTGGTAATACAGGGTACAAAATGGTTTTATAATGAGCCCATAATCACAAACTATGCACCAGAAGCTTTTCACAAGCCCGGTGGCAGGTCTTCCCAGAGGTTTTACGGCTCTCCCCTCCTAGAAGAACATGAGCGCATGGGATTTCTACCCTACTTAGAGGGAGAAACGTTTCACCTGCCTTTGAAATGCTGCCTTTTCTGCATGGAAAGACAGTAGCAGCTGAGCTGCATAAGGCATTCCTTTCCCAGCATAAAAAATGGAGTGTTGTCACTGTTGGAAATAGAAGGGCAGTACAGGAGTCTGTGTGCAGCTGGGATGGAAATGCAAGTCTCCTTCCATCAGTAACCCCAAACATTTACATTAGGATTTGCATTACTCTGAATGCCAATTTGCAAGGCAGAGACAAAGCTGTTCCCAGTTGTCAAGACGACGTCTGAGGGAAGCAGAACTGTCAACAACAAAAGAGGTCAGAGAAGATTTCTGTTGTCTCTCTGAAAATACATGCAATATTAGAGGAGTAAGAGAGATTGGAAGAACTGCTTAAAAGTTAGAGTGAGTTTCCCTCGGAGGGAAGAGCCTGGGCAGGTATGTAAATAAACCCCCAGGCAGAGAACATCCATAGGCATTGTAGGCTGGAAAGGGGGCAGAAGAATGTTCAAAGACTTTGTTCCAGAGTTTCTGTAATTTAAGATATTTAAAAATAATAATAAAATAACATTTCTTTTCCTCTTGGCTGCAAGGAGACTGAAGGATGCAAAGTAGGGCACTGCTGTTGTGTTTGGCCAGTAGCCAGCCAGACAAGAAAGACCAACAGGCATGTAAACAGTTTGTGTGCATCTCAATAGGAAGTTTACTTCAAAGCTGAGTTCTGGAAACAGAAATTCAAGCTTAGATTTTTTTCCCCCCTATTTTCTTCTTTTTTTTTTTTTTAAAAAAAAATGTTCAGGCGAGTTATTCTTTGTGTCAGTGAGAATAGCTGGGTTAATAGCCCTGGAGTGTAAAATCATGAGTTCTGTTACACTGAATGGACAGGAGCAATATGAGTTTTCTCTACACCGTCTGATACTGTGCTTCTGTCTCAATTTAGAGAAACCACACCTGGGGACATGGGGAAGCTCAGGATGTGTAGCTCATTTTTCCATAGCCTCTGTGAGGTTTCCAGCACCAGTTGTGATACTGTGTTGAGGTGAGGCCACCTTTTTTTTTTTAGATTTGGGCTATGATCAGTAGCTCATTTTGACTTTGGTCTTCAAACAGCCTTGAGAGAGGGAGAAAGCTGTACGCGCTACAAATACAAAAATGCCAAGTTGTCAGCCAGGAGATATTTTTTCTGAGGTAACTGGCAGTAAGTTCACTCCTGTAAGTCATTGTGGCACAATTGCATAGTGCAGAGATGCTCCTACTCCTGTAAATGCGCTGGATATAGAGTGGGAGCTGTATCACCACCTTTGAAATATCGTTCCATTTTGGAGACTTCTGACATGGTTTCCAGCATAGTTAGGCTGCTGCTGGTACCCAGACCTGTTCATTTAGGGCTAGCTACCGCATTGTGCTGTGCAGAGTGACTGTGCCCTCATTCTCTTCCCTTAGCTATGGATCCTGAAGAATCCTGTTGCCAGACTGGAAGTAACTTGCTTAGCCCCCTAAAACACAATTAACTTTTTCTCAGACAAGGTTTTTGGTGGGCCAGGTGGCCAAAGACATTTATAGGGACTGCTGGGGAAAAGAGGCTAACAGGTTTGGTTTCTGCTTGAACTCACCAGCATGAATATGGGCATCTCCGGCTGTAGCGGCAGCAGTAGAATTGCCATTCACGGTCAAGCACAGATGGAAAATACTGACTCTGGAAACCAGCCACCAGCCCATTGTTCGAGCAGGTTTGATACCTAAGAAAGAGGAGAAAGAACAGAACACATAAGGAAAACATGATATTAGATTCCCTGATGGTTTCAAGCATTTATGAAAACAACATTAAAAATTTGGATTCAGGGTGGAAGCTAAGGGTTTGGCTTTGTATTGAGAAGCAGTGTGTGCACTTGCTCTGAATTGAGTAACGATTTTGTATAAGGAAGCGGCTGTAGTTAACTAATAATGTCTTAACATTTATGTTGCACTTAAAACTATTTAAACTATTTTTAAGTATTTAATCATTCCAGTATGCTAATCAGGTGAGAAGATTGTTCTGGTGTTGACATTCTCAACTGTTTACAAATCATGAGGCTGACTTCAAATTAGTCCATTAATACTTTTATCATTGACTGTTGGTATTTGAGCATTTGGGATTCACTGGAGTAATTTTTTCAACTGCTTCTCTACAAAAAAAAAAGCTTTAGAAACTCTTTTATAAGAATTTCAGCAATTTCTTTTGTTTTATTTCTTTCTCAATTACCTGTCTCCAGGAGAAGGCACTCTTAATTCAAAACATTATAGGCTCGTGATGAAATCATGATTTGATAACAGTCACATGAGGAAAACTGAGACTCAGATGCTATGAAATTATAAGACTCACATAAATTTTATGACTGGATCCTCAAAAGAAAAATCTGCTGCTTCATGCTTTCTGTGTACTCAGGGATTGTGTCATACACATAAATCATTACCTTCAAGTAGAATAGACATGGTCTCTAAGCATGCATACCTATGCTTCTCTTTCTGCATACCATAAAAGAATCTGGACACTGAAACCCAAAATAATTCAAGTAATAATCAGTTTGAATAGCTTGCTGCTTGGAGACTAAAGACAAGGAGAGCGTGAAAACAGACAGCTCATTAACTCAGCTGTTGAGTGCTCGTTCTCTCAAGCACCCTCCTAGCCTCATTGTTTCCCTATTGGAGAAAATTATAGGAATTCAGTTTCTTCCATTTCCTTTTCTTTCTTTTTCCTTCATCAAGGAAAACCAGAAGCCTAGAGCTGTAGCAAACCTTCCTCATGATACCATAAAATCAAATACATTGATACATCCTAAAGACTCTTTCAGAAGTAACTTTATGATTAACAAATGCCAAAATTTTCCCCTAGTTTCATTCAGTGACCTCATAGTTTATTTTAATGAGCTCAGCGTTCCCAGAAGGGAAAACACACCATCTAGCAGGGTTTGGTGTTGGAAAGTCATTCACTTGTGCATACAGGTGTTAGCACTCGCAAAGCGTGAGGCTCACGTGTTTGTATGCAAAAGCAGAAGAACATACCAATTTGGCCAGCGCAGAGATGAATTCCTCTGCCTAACTTTCAGCCTCCTCTTCTGAAGCAGGGGTCTCTTCCCTATGTCCCTTCCACTGTCTTCTGTTGTTCAGACAAGATTATTTACATTTGTTTGTATCCCCGCATCTCCCACGTTGCTGGGGCCAGGCGTACTTGCTGAGCGTTGTGAGACTCTTCTGAGGACCTTCAGAGTTAAGCAATGATGGGGACTCTGAGTTGCTATGGTATCACACCGAGTAAGGCAGTTTGGCTCACACTCAGAGGATTT